ATTTTTCAGAAAGATTGGTAAATGGTTACATGCAGCAATTTCTCATCACTGTTTCAAGTTTGAAAAGCTACAGCTTTCTCTTGTGCCTAGGAAGGCTTTAGACACTATATTTCATGAAATTCCCAAGCAACTTGGGAAGTTGCAATCTTCAGTGGTGGCTGGGTGATTTAATCTGACAACATCTAAATTTCAGTTCTGTAGAAAATTTGCTTAGTATTTTGGAGCTGTCTGTGGTTAATCATATTGAAACAATATAGTCTTGCCCGTTACCTCATTTTGGATGCTGCTGTAGGTTTAAAAACAAACATAAGCTAGAAGAGAGTTCCTCACTATTGTGTGAAAACAACAAAAAATAGAATGTAATTACAGACCAGATGAGTTGCATTTACTTTTATGTTTAAATAGTGAAGGTTCTATCCTACCAAGTATGGGGTGGAGAAATCTTCCATGGAGAAGTTTCTGCTCTTTAGTACCCAGGGGTAAAATATGGAAGGCAATAAGCAAAAATAGCCATTCAGGTAACACCTGATCCAAGTGTACTCAGAATCCTGCATGAATACATTTGATTCAACTGTAAGGTTTGCTGCCAACTTCTCACCTGTGTTTCCTGGGATTTTTCAGGTAAGCTGGCACAACCTGCACTAAAGCACATGCTGCCTCTGCTAGTGGTAGGTTGCACAGGAATATGTGGGTGACACACTTCTCTGCCCTACAGATGGATCCTGAAGGAGTGTTGGCTTAGACATGGAGCTCAGAGCACAGTTTTTGAAGTCTGTCTCCCTAGAAGTGATAATCAAACTGGACAGATTTGGACTGAGGTCTTAATTTAGTGTCTTTTAAATCATTAGTTTCTTCTCTTTTCGTACCACAAGTAGGAAATCAAAGAAGGTAAATTATGACAGGTTAGTCCAGTACTAGAGTGCTCTGACTGTGAATTGCTACAAATGAGAAAGTACTATGCAGTCAGAGCAAAATACTCCTCAGTCTTCACAGCTGCTCTTCCCATGACAGAGTGACGGGCAGAAGGAAGAATGACATCCTTCACTCTAGAGGAGAAAATTTTAGGAGTGCAAAAGAATCTAATGGCCTTTTAAAAAATAAATACATTACATTAATTTACTATCTCTAAGAGGGGGCTTAATGCCATGCTGTTTGGGGCATCTGGGGCTGCTGGAAATGGATAGTGAAGTTACCTGTGTGTACAAATGACTATTCCTGGTATCTTACTCTGGCTGAACTTGCAACAGGATCTTTCTGAATACAAAGTAGTGCAGGATGACTTCCTTTACAAGGGGCTGATCTGCTCTCTTGAAGTGCTGAGAACATCCACTTCCTGAGTGCAAGAAGGATGTCAAAATTGCTCAGCGTTCTGCAGAATTGTGCCTTAAAACTGTACCTCTAACAGATTAACAAGCAAAATAGTAGAAAAACTGAGTGGGGAGTTGCCATGGTGATCATAACATTTGATAACTGCAAATAACAGTGCTCCATACAGCAACCGTGAACCAGAATACAAAGATGGCATTTTGTGTGACCAAAAGTCCAAATTCTTAGAAGCCTTGACTCATTCACTGTCAGTATATTGATAATTAATTCAATTTGGAATTTTTCTTTAGTGTGACTTCACACTCAAAACATGTTTCCTGTTTTGTAGTCCCCTAATGAGCTCTCAGGGACTGTAAAGAGAGAAAACTGAATTCAGAAAGCTGTGTGGAGACAGTAAGAAAGCCATCTGAGATCTGTCAGCATATGGTTTCTTCTCTGCTGGGCAGCTATAGGTGCTGGATTCCCCTTGTATAGCTTTGGAAAGACAAAGGATACAGAAATGGGTTCTTTGGCTAAACCAGCCTGCCATGGAAAGTCACAGAGAACCAAAGCAAGAAGTAATGCATCTGTCTCTTCCTTTTATACCCTGTCTTCCAGATTTGTCTCTCTAGAATTGAGAAGCAGAGAATAAGAAAAGGCAGAGTCACCACTCTACAACAGAACAGATTTAAGCTTTTTGGTCTGTTACTATAGAGAGGCTGTTCAGTCACCTTTAAAATAATGTTCTTCTAAATATGTAGCTAGTGCATCTCCTAAATCTGTAGCTACAACTTTGCTAGACATCAGATTTTGACTAACTGAAAACAAAATTTTTTTGCTCTCACATTAGCAGCCATTCTGTTTCTGATTACTAATTTAAAGTTTCCTGTTGATTCTGCTCACAAATCTTAAAGTTACTCTAGTAATAAGCAGAGAGACTCAGAGCTGCCTCCTCAGAGAATGGAGTGACTAATCAGAGCATCAGTTAAAGGCAGCATGATGTTGCATAGGCACCTTGGGAAAAGAGAAGATTTCGCAAAGTCATAGAATCCTTCTATTTTAGATAACATTCCTATAGTCCATTATTATAACATAAAAATGATGCCTCTATGATCATCAGCAGAGAGATTCTGACAGCCTAACTTCACTTTAGGCTTGGTCAAATTTTTTTTTTGCAGGGACATCAGTGACTATTTTCTAAGACACGGGGAGATGTTGTCAAGTGCACTTGTGGGAGAAGTTCCCACAAGAAATTGTTCCATTTCCTATCATCTAGCATGGCCATCAAGCTGAGTTTAATGGGACTGGCACAGGATTGGATCGACAGGCTGGACTATTGCCAGTCCTCTTTTTCTTTTTTTTTTTGCCCCCATTCATTCTAAGCATAGAGATTGTAATTGCAGACTGACTCTTTGAAAGACACTGAGTCATCACTGTCTATTCCACTGCTAAATCTTATTTTTGTATCACTAGCAAGTACTTTTGAAGTATCCCTGCTAATGGTTCTGTGCTCTTAGTCTCGGTGAGTCTGGGTTTTGTTTGTTTACTGCAATTAGGCAATGATTGTGAGTTATGAATAAACCCTAGGGGAAAAGAGGGTAGGAATAATTATTTCTGGCAAATCAGAAAGTGCACATTGTTCTTTATGTTAGCATATGACTCAGTCAAGAAGGTAAAAGTTTCTTGATTCAAGATTTGAATCAGACCGTAATTTTCCATGCATCTGTTGCATTTCTGCATCCGCCTAAACTAGTTTACAGATGATAGTAAAGTGAGGTGTGAAGGTTTAGCAAACTAAAGTTGTCCTTTGACTCACTTGTATAAAAAAAATAATTACCTGTAACTTCAAAAAAATAAGGAAATAGTAAAAACTTCAATGTGAATATAACTGATAGAATTAGTTCTTTCTTAGAATCCTTTCTTTTGTTCAAAATTCAGTTAGCCCTTGTTTAAAGGGAGATAAAGGTTAAGCAGACATACTTGTACATGATAAGAGGAAAGGACTAATTTTAGGTGTTGTTTTGAGATTAAAAGCTGATGAGTATCATGTGAAACTGGGGAATCTGTCTCAGTTGGACATTATGGGAGAGGCAATTGTGGCAAAGCTCTGTGTGCTTCTTTGTAGGAAAGGGAAATGTAGCAATACTAAGCCCTAAAGAAAGAATATGAACAGGAACAAAATAAGAAAGACAGTAACCTAAATATTAAGTTATGATGTAGCAAAACAGATAGAGAGGAGCAAAAGGGGAAAGCAGGAAAGCATATGGGGGTTGCAGCTCTTCTCCAAGAGACACAGAGAAAGATCAGAGATGCAGATCTTGAAGCTTTCTCTGTATCTCTGCCAGACATGAAAATCCCCCCAGGGTCCCAGCCCTTTCCTCTCCTGCTCCTGAACTCTTTGTTTAAAAGCTCCTTCCTACGAGCCGATAGGAAGCAAACAGCAGGAGGGGGCAGAGGCCAGCCGGGGGCTGGTCCAGCGTGGCAGATGGAGGCTGTAATCCACTGTTAGGAACATTGTCATCGATTTCTGACTTCCTGTTTGTCTTCATCAATGATGGTGATTTCCCTCTTTCATTTCTCACCATTAAGCTTGCCTAGAGCCTGGTACCTATCAGCAAAACCTCAAATGAATCAGAGTTATAAGATGTTAAATCTTAACAGGGAAGTACATCAATGAGAAACTGCTGACAATGGGAGTTCTCCCCCCACACTTTACACTGTGCCAGTATATGGCACTGCAAAGCATCCTTCATTGTTCACCTGCGTTCATATTTTGTCATTTCATGAAATTAATCCTTTCATGATTGCTAATTATTGTGTTTCTCATTAATTTTGTTTCTTGGAGGAAAACCAGCCCTCAGAAATACAATGATTGTTTTCAAATTTGCTAAATTGTTTTTCATTTCAGAAACAGGATTGCCTTTTCCATAGAAACTCTCCTAATCTGAACTAGTTACTAGATCCTTCTGGGAAATAAGTTTTATTCTGACTGCAGTTGAGACCAAAAACTGGGAAGGGAAGTTAATGAGAAGCCACTAATAATTACAACTGAAGATCAAAATATTGGAAAACCATAATAAAGAAGATAATTCCCAGTTAAAACAGATCAGGATTTTAAGGGATTTTTAAAATTAGATCATTTTAACTAACTGAAATTGAGTCTTTTGGTGAAAATCTATTGCTTTCTTATAAGTTTCTCTGTAACATGAAGAATTAGCAACAGTGACAGAAAGAAAGGAACTCAAAGGATAATATCAGTCTCACCTAATTTTAGCTATATAAAGTATAGCTAAATTAGTTATCTAATTTCCTTTTGTGAACAGCAGAGGGATAAGCACCTACTTAGTGCATTTGTACTGATTCTGAAGCACATCCAAGGCTTATTCAATGAATTGCCCTGGTGATGCCAGAACAACTGCTTTTGGGCAGAGGGATACCATTTGGAAGCAGTCCAAGGAGCAAATCCAAAAGAAAACTGAATCTATTTAGAAAAATAAAATAAAATTTAAAATACATAATTGGTTGGTTTTAGTGGCTGTTTCAGTAGCTTGTCTTATAACAGTGGAGGATCAGTGCTAGTGTGCCTTAGGGTGTGGGAGCACACCAGGACAGAGGGCAAGGTCACATTGGCTGCGATGGCAACCCCAAAACAAGTGGATAGCAGCAAGCTGCAGTGCAAAATCTGTGCAGGAGGACTAGCAGAGCACTGTAGACAGGAAAATAATGCTTGCAGTTAGCAGCAGTAATGGATACCCAAATGCAGCAGAACTACGAGTAGCTGGTACTTCAGAAGCTGTTTCACATCTGGCTGGTCTGGAGCACTTCAGAGCAAGTAGGGGTCTGCCTGCAAGAGAGAAGATAGCTGGTGGTCAGAGAGGCTGGTGAGATATGCCTGAAATGGTTCGTGTCTCTGCTTGCAAGGTTTTGATCTGTGCATGTATGCTCTAGGAGGATCTTAGGATTCACAATGCTTCATCTGTTTTGCACCTATATTTTCTCCCTGTTTTCTCCTTGGCTTTAATAAAAAATAGGTCCAAATACTATATTCATCTTTCCTCTTTCCAGTGATTTTGCAATCATTGTCAGAGTAAAAATCTCTGCATTTTCAATACTCAGCACCATGGGAAAGCCATTTCTATTTCTTCTGAGGAAATGCAGTTTTTATTGTGACTCTTCTCAGTTTCCAAGTTAGAAGGTCATAAAATCAGACCATGATGGTAGAAGATACTAAGAGCATAATTGTTTTTGCACACTCAAGCTGTGCTATGAACACTCATGATGATTTATAAGCCTATGAAATAGTTGCTGGCTGAACCCATAATCAGCATCCATGTAGAAGAAGTGCAGTAACTACAAGTGTTGTGTCAGGGAAGCACAGCAATTGTTAGATTGTGATTTTCTTTTATTTAATTCACCAACTTGAATCAAAGTTTAGATGAAACCTTTCCTAAGAAGCAGAAATCCTAACTGGACAGTTTAAGAGATTGGAAAAGGTCAGCATAGTTTATTATCTGTCCAGTCAGATACTACTTTGGTATGTGAAAGGATATTTAAACTCAATGGCACAATGGCACAAACCCATTCTGACTGAAACCAGAAGAGCCTGAGGTGTGGGTGGTGAGGCACTGGAGCAGGTTGCCCAGAGAAGTTGTGGAAGTGTTCAAGGCCAGGTTGGATGATGGGGCTCTGAGAAACCTTGTCTAGTGGAAGATGTCCAATCTCCATGGCAGGAGGATTGGGATGGGATGATCTTTGTCCTTTTCCAGCATCAAGCCTCTCTGTGATTCTGTGATGTTTTTGTGATTTCCCCTTGACCAGGGCTGCTGTTGTAAACTTCCACCAGAGAAACGTTTGGGTACTTCAGTGGTGCAGTGCTGGAGCAGCAATGGTTTTGCATGGGACTGCTCTTCTAGAGATACACCAGTGCTTGCTTACAGGAGATTAGGAGGGAAATCTGACTTGTGGGTATTTTTTTTATATTAATGCAGGTATTTAATTGCAGGAGGAACACAGCTCCAGTTATACCACACTGTAGTCTCAATTAATACTTGAGTTTTATTACAGAATCCTCCTGCTGTTGGTTTTGACTCTGAGTGGCTTTCTTCTTCCAAAGATCTCTGGGGTCTTGTAACTTGTATTTTCCAGTGGGGAATGGATTTTGATAAGGGACCTGTGGAGTACACTGATGTGTGCTGTATTAAGTTAAATGCTAAAAATTTTGCTGCAGGCAGTGCTTTGTAAGAAGTGGCAATGCATTATCCCTTCCCATGGGATTCATGATAATAGCATTAATCACAATGAATTACATTGGTATCTGTGTGGCAGTCATGACTTTTTTCTGCCCTACAGGGGTTGTTTCTTTTTCATGCAGGTCAATGAGCTTTTGCTGTGATCAAAGCAAACATGCAAATGTAAATTCTTTCCATAAAGGTACAGGGGAAAAAAATGTTAGGATGGATGGATAGTAACAGATAACAGTTTAAGAGACACCCTAAAGCAGCTTATTCTGACTGGTTCATTTCAGGTAAATGTTTGGGAGACACTTCTATAATGAAACAGCTTTCTGGAATAAAGGGATGCTAACATTCTCCTTTTCTAGTTTCAGCTCTTTTAGAAAGTTCAGCCAGTAATGTTAATTCAAAAAAACTATGGGAATTACAGTTTGCCGAGACTGAGTTACTTTGTTATTGTTTTAAATACTATCCCAGGTTTAAGAAAGGAAGTGCTAACAGTAGTTTGAAAGACAGATTTTAAAAGAAAAATGAATAAAGTGAGAAAACATCTCCCGTGTGGGATGCCGATAAACTGACAAAGTTTTGCTACTGAGATACAGTTGCAGGCCTTACAAAACAGAAATTATTGAGAAAAAGCTGCTTATGTCCTTTTTGTAGGAAGCTGAAAGGATTCCTTGAAGTGCAGAAACTATGCTTGCTCCTCGCTGTGACCTTTTTCCTTGATGATGTTCCTAGCTGAGGCTACCTCATTTTGTTTTCTATCATTTCCTGTGGGCTTTGTGTGTCTTTTCAATGTAGTTGATTTCTGGAAATTGAAGAGCAGATGGTTTGTGTTTGTAAATTGCCAAAACCCCATGACTTTAAATGGATAGTTGCCTTGAAAATTTGAGCAGCCAACAAAACTATTTAAGGGCTGTGTAATCACTTTATTTGCTCTTCCCTTACTGTCCTGTCCTGAGTCAGCTTTATGGACTTCTTAAACTGTAGAGAATCTTTTTTTTTGCATCTCACACAATTTAATGATAATACACAGTTTAATAAGTTATTCGGATTCTTCACTTTATACATAGACTTAAATACATAACCATTTTTATAGCTTTTTAAATATATCAACATATTTGATATTATTGACAGATTCAAGTTTTGTGATTCAGCAACATGTGAACATAAAATGATATAGAATAAAATTATTATATTCATTATAATATATATTTTTATTATATATAATGTACATTTATATATTATATATTATTATTTATTATACATAAAATTGTAGTAAAAATAGACAGTATGACTTCAGTTTTTATTTAGCATTTACTTAGCAGATTGTGATCTGAAACTTTTGCCAGAAAAATAAATAAATAAATGTCAGATTTAGCTTGTAGATTGCCGTTTTTAAAAAGCGCTCATATTTAAAATGAATTTATAAAATCTGATTTAATCTTGACAGTTTTATTGGTATATCTATTGCTGCCAAAGAAAAAAAAAGATAGGATTTATATTTTGCAGTACATTTTGTAGTTGTTGTTCTAGAATTTCTTTTATGATAGAAAGAATAAATCAAAACCATGTAGCCCACCCTTACATTATTGCATATATATCAACCAATATTCTGTCTGGATGTTTTCTTTGCTGCAAGCTAAGAATAAAGGATTATTTCTGCATGCTCATTAATCTCACAGAGGAAGGAGCTGGGAACTCCATCTCATCAGTATCCCTGAGCACCATGTGGACATCTCAGTCCCCTGCAGGTCTTGAGGTTCTGAGTGTGTCTTCACCTCTTACCCTCTCCCCTATCTCATCTTTGTGCTTCATTTTTGCCCCAGGATTGTTTGCCTACCCCTTTAATCCTCACCTGATTCCTCCTTATCCCTTGCAAGGCCTGATGTACCTACACTTCTCTGCCCATTAATCAACTCTCTGCACAAGAGATACCAAGACAGTTGATACTTTTTTTCTGCCTGTTACGCCCTCTCCACAGCCTGTGCCTTTTTCATCTGTTTATCTCTAAGGAGGGAGCAGCTCTTCTCTAGGTGTGTAATTTATAGCACAGCAGGTCTCTACTTTAGGCAGCCTGGAGCTATTCACTGTAGTAATGAGGTTATTGATGATTACAAGGGTTTAGAGGTGGCTTTTTCTTTGTTGCTGCAATTGAGGTAGAGACCAACACTCTCCAGCTTTCAGATCATAAAGGAATAGAGACCAAGGGAATATATCCCTGGTTTGATATGCTCCAGCTCTCTATGGTCCTTCCATACTGCTCATTGTGTGGACTGGGTGACTGAATTCTGGAAACTATCTTATTTATAGATGGTTTTGGAATTGATATTTTAATTGTTGCAAGAAAAATAAAACTAACAGTATTACTCTGTTGATTTTTAATTTTGGCTTGTGTTGTAAAGCCTACATGTCATCTTATTTTGGAGCCAGGTGCAGAAAATTGATGTTATTCTACTTTTTTGTTGGTACTTTGTTAGCAGAATGTGCTGGAAGTTGACTATATTTTTGTTTTGTTTGTTTCTGACACAATTGCCTCTTTCCCTACCAATTAGTCACTGGATTAGTGCCTTTTCTGGTATATTTTTTTGAATTTAAGCACCTTATTAACACCTGGCTAATGTCTTACAGACCCAGTGGCTTTTCATCTGCAGTAGTATTCAGTGTTTACCCCCTTTCATTAAATGCTTCTCTCCCCTCAGCACTTCACTTCTTCTACTCATTTCAGCTGTGTGGTTCCTATGGAAACACACTTTCCATATACACTTTAGGTTGTGCTTCAGCATTAAAAAAAAACAAAAAAGCCAACTATTGTATCAGCCTCTCCTCTGTGGAACAATGGCTCAGACATCTCCAGCCCCCCATCTGATACTGCCTGGCTCACTCTGGGTTGGGATCAAACCTCTTTGTTTGGGGGGGAATGTGGATGCTCTTAATATGTGAATGTGTTTTGCAATAAGAATCTGGGTTTCTCTGCATTTGAAATACTTAACAGGCATGATCTTTCTGGCAAGCAAGGTGGGCTGGTGGGATTCATCCTTAATCTTCAAAACTAGTTACAAAAAGATGCTGCAGAACATAACATCTTCCAGAGGCCACCAAGCACTTGCAGGGCCTCAGGTTGTAGATCGATCTGTCTGGGCTTTGGTCAGGTCAGATGGCCATTGGTATTCCACATGCAGGTACAAACTGTACTCAGCAAATAAAAATCATCTCTTTCAGTCAGCTCTCACAATCCATCAACAAGTCTATCACAAACAAATTCAACAAGATGTTCCCATTCGCAGCTTTTGGATGGTAATGACACAGTCTGTTACAAACCCATCAGATGTTTAGTTTTAGCTGGGATGCTTTCAGAGTGCATGAACACTCAGTTGCTCTCCAATGTGATACTTTGCTTAGAGTGAAACTATCTTAAATATTTGCACAATATTTGATAATGTCCACTCAGCTGAACATGAGAAGACAGAATAAAATACATCACATTATTCATACAGATTCCCACACTTGAACCTACATAAAATGAATTTTTCAAAATCCATTCACTCTTCCCAAAGACCAGGGGCTGCTGTTTGTTGTCATGTCTTTGTATTATCCCAGTTATGACCCTGTA